CCACCCCCCCACCCCCTGCAACTTTCATAATTTGTTTTGTCGTGGCAACAAGAAAGTATCTAGTACCCCAAATTGGAAGGAGAAGGGCTGTTGCCGTGTTAGAGCTGATCATGTGACTTACAGGACTTTGGTTTGCAGAGTAACGTGAATGAGTTTGGAGCCAGGGACTATAAAAGCCGTCGGTGCCATAAGTAGAACCTAGTGGGCCATTTGTAACACAAGTTCTAATAGGTCTTAATAATAACAGCCCAGAGTCAGATTCTAGGGGGTGAAAGCTGAAAGATCAGAGAAGCAGAGCAGCCAGCCACTAGAGCTCTGTGAGATCCTCAGACTGAAAAGAGACCGAGTTCTTGTCTCCTCCTGTCTCTATTTCTCTCTCTGTCCAGCCATCTCACTTCCTGTCTGTCTGTACAGACCTCCAGACCTGTATGGTTAGCTAGCCCCACCCTCTGATCCTCAGGCAAGCTTTATTTGATAGATTATAAACAAGATATCACCAGAGCCATGTTGGTTGGGGTTTGGAACATAAGACATCGGAGAGATCGTAAACAGTGAAGTGTGCCTCATGGGCAAAGACGCCACTGGGATCAGGGGTAGAAATCATTCCTGTTCCTTTGTGGCAGTTAATATGGATTCTGCTCATACCTTGAAAGTTTGAGTGAGGCCAAATTAAAAGTAATTGACTAAGTTATTTGGAAAAATTTCAAGACAATATAACATCTGGGCTGTGGTATGGTTACTGCTCACTGATCTTAGAGGTGTACCGTAAGAGAAACAGGAACACAGGGTAGACCCAAGAAAACCTCTAGGATTGTTAAAGAGACAGTGCCATTAAAGAGAAACCCCTGCTCCTTTTCACTGGGTTAATAAAAAAGGTTTGCCATCCAAGGCTCCACTTGGTGAAAATGCAAATTCCTTTGAAAGGAGAGAGCCCCTGCTGTTTAAAACAACCACCTCTGGACTTGTTTTGCCAAGTTTGGTTACCAAGGTGCACAGAGGCCACCAGAGCTGTGGATGGAAGGAGCCGGACTACATCTTGAACTCATAGTCAATTAAAATTGTCCTTGTGGATTTTCGGGCATCCAAAAGCAGGAGTAGCAGCGCCATGAACACTTACAACAAAGCTTTGGAGTGGCTGAGATCAGACAAGTACCTGGTGTGTCTCCTAGGGAGCCTGTGCCCTGCACTTTGCACAGATGCTTCTGGGGCCCCACTCCTCAGCCCCTGTAGGTGAGGTGGGAAGGCTGTAGGAGTCTGGGCACCAGTGCCACCCTCTCCGCTTCCTGACTGCAGCCGTGATGAACCCAGCCCCCCCACTCATGCTCCCACCACATACCACCATGTTTGTGCTGACATGGTGGTTAGGCTATGGTAACAGTTTCTCTGAAGGCAGGCCTGGTGAAGAGCAGAGACCTTCTATTTCAGAATGGCCACTTTCCCTATCTCCCTTCCAGGAGTACCAGGGGATATTGTGCTAGATTATGGCCTCTCATTGTCTAGTCAGGCTCCTGTGGGGCAGATCCTGTCTCCCACAGTGTGATCAAGCCCAGGCCCGGCCACTAACATGGACCCAGGAAACACTTGTTGGCAATAGCTTAGTTTGATTACCATTCATAGAGGCCGTGTAGATCATCACAGGGATGCCTAGGGTCTTTGTGAAAGCAGGCAGTCTCTGACTTAGGGGCCCGCTCTCATTCTCCCTTTGTTCTTAAATCTGCAGGTTGTGTGTAAGCAATATGGAGGCTGACCTGTCTGGCTTTAACATTGATGCGCCCCGCTGGGATCAGAGCACGTTCCTGGGGCGTGTGAAGCACTTTTTTAACATCACGGATCCTCGCACTGTCTTTGCATCAGAGCAGGAGCTGGACTGGGCCAAGGTGATGGTGGAGAAGAGCAGGTGAGTGAGTGGTCAGGGGAGGGGCTGCAGGTACCAGCCCGACATTGCTGGGCTCTCCCAGGGAGGGAGAAAGGTCTCAGGAAGGAAGGAGAAGAGCCGGGAAACCAGGAGACACGGATCGCATCATCAGATCAGGTGGTCACTGCTGTTGTCATTGGGTGACAGGATGGGCCTTGTGCCCCCTGGCACTCAGGTGGAGCAGCTGCTGTACGCTAAGAAGCTTTATGACTCGGCTTTCCACCCTGACACTGGGGAGAAGATGAACGTCATTGGGCGGATGTCCTTCCAGGTCCCTGGTGGCATGATCATCACAGGCTTCATGCTGCAGTTCTACAGGTGAGTCCTGAGATGGAGGGGGCGGGGCCAGGCTAGGCAGGGAACCACCTGCTAACAGTCCTGTTAGTCACTTAACAGATACTGGGCACTGTGCCGAGTGGACTTTCACTCTCAACAGCCCTACACTCAGCTGCTGTTTCTGCTTCCCTTTGTTAGATGGGATGCTGGTGGCTAAGTAACAGTGCATCAGGACCACAGTCAGAACTGTGGGGACTGCTGCTGCCAGAACAGACCTAGTACTCAGTGGGCTATCCGTCCTAAGCTTTATATTATTATTATTATATTATTATTATTATTACTATTTTGAGCAGAGTCTCACTATGTAACCCTGGCGGCCTAGAATTCTATGTTAATTAGGCTGACTTCGAACTCACAGAAACTTCAAACTGCCTCAGCCTCTGGAGTACTTGTATTAAAGGATTAGGTCTTTTTCTTTTTTTGTTCTTTTTCAAGACAGGATTTCTCTGTGTATCAATGGCTGTCCTGGAACTCACTCTGTAGACCAGGCTGGCCTCAAACTCACAGAGATCTGCCTGCCTCTGCCTCCCAGTTGCTGGGACTAAAGACATGGGCCACCACCACCTTGCTAAGGTCTAAGTCTTAAAAAAAAAAAAAAGAAAGAAAGAAAAACTTAAACTGGGAGTTGTTGCCGCACGCCTTTAATCCCAGCACTCGGGAGGCAGAGGCAGGCAGATCTCTGTGAGTTTGAGGCCAGCCTGGTCTACAGCGCGAGTTCCAGGACTGAGTTCAAAGCTATACAGAGAAAATTCCTTTCTTGAAAAACCAAACCAAAAAAAAAAAAAAAGACAACTTTAAAAAATTACATTTGTTTATTTGTGTGTGTGTGTGGAGGATTTCTGTGAGTTTGAGGCCAGCCTGGTCTACAGCGCGAGTTCCAGGACTGAGTTCAAAGCTATACAGAGAAAATTCCTTTCTTGAAAAACCAAACCAAAAAAAAAAAAAAAGACAACTTTAAAAAATTACATTTGTTTATTTGTGTGTGTGTGTGTGTGTGTGTAGAGTGGAGGTACATCCCACTGAGTGTGTGTATATGAAGGTCAAAGGACAATTTAACAGAAGTGGTTTCTTTTTCCACCATATAGGACCTGGGGATAGAACTCAGACACCCTCATCCACCTGGCACGCTCATCAATCTTCTAAATTCTTTGTTATTTGTTGTTATTGTTTTGTTTAGTTTTTGAGGCAGTCTCCCAATGTGTAACTCTGGAGGCCTGGAACTGGCTATATAAACCAAACCTCAAACTCAGAAATATCTACCTGCCTCTGTCTCTCAAGTGCTGGGATCAAAGGCCTGCACTGTCATGGCTGGCTCCTCCTAAGTTCTTTTTTTTTAATATAATTTTTATTTTTACTTTATGTGCATTGGAGTTTTGCTTGTATGTCTGTCTGTGTGAGGGTGTCAGGTCCCCTAGAACTGGAGTTACAGACAGTTGTGAGCCACCGTGTGGGAGCTGGGAATTGAACCCGGGACCTCTAGAATAGCAGTCAGTGCTCTCCAGCTCCTCCTCCTAAGCTCTTAAAATAAGACTTCCACAGTGGCTTTCTTTTGAATGTGACTCCAAATGAAAAACGAAAAGGCCCTTTTCTTGCTCTGCTTGGTTGGGAAGGGAATAAGCTCCCTGTGTATTCATTTAGTTAGTTGTGGAGCTATGCCTTGGGCCAGTGCCGGGGATAAAGGACTCTAGGCTCTCCCCTCCTGGAGACACAGAACAGACTGGAGATTGGGAAGTGGTAGGTTGGGGGAAGAATTTTGAGTCATGGGAATGATTGTCTCAAGAGGGGCAGAAAAAGGGTCAGAAAAATTCCATGAAGAAAAACATCTTTCTTCCCTGTTTTCTCCCTGTGTGAAAGGAAGAGGGGCTATTCCAGGCCAAGGGCTCCTCCCATCCAAAGCCCGTGGGTGTGAGAAAGAATGGGAGTGGCTTAGGAAACTGCAGGTGCTGTGGTGCCTAGGACACCCCAGGCCGCTCTTCATCTCTCGTGGTCTCCCTTGCTTGTAGGACAATGCCTGCGGTAATCTTCTGGCAGTGGGTGAACCAATCCTTCAATGCCTTAGTCAACTACACCAACAGGAACGCGGCTTCCCCCACATCAGTCAGGTAGGAGACCTGAAACGAAGGCTCTCCTCTTCCTCTGCAGGAGCCCCTCTGCTCTTGGACTGGGTGTGGCCCACTCTGGAAGGTGGCCAGACTACCGTTTCCAGTGTTTGAAATATTCAGACCTACTGAGAGTATCTTCTTCCCAGACTATTTTTAAATGTCCATTCATTTAACTAATATATTCTTCCTTTGTTTTGATTTTAGTTTTTGAAGCAGGGTTTCTCTGTGTAGTTGTGGCTGTCCTGGAACTCACTGTGTAAACCAGGCTGGTCTTGAACTCACAGAGATCCACCTGTCTCTGCCTCCTGAGTGCTGGGATTAAAGGTGTACGATACTGCTGCCTAGCTTTTCTTTTTCTTTTTTCTCTTAAAGATTTATTTATTTTATTGTATTGAGTATTTTACCATTTGCATGTATGTATGTGCCCTATGTGCACATTTTTGGTGCCTGCAGAAGTCAGAAGAGGGCATTGGCTCCCCAGGAACTGGAGTTATGGATGGTTGTGAGCTACCGTGTGTGTGTGTGTGTGTGTGTGTGTGTGTGTGTGTGTGTGTGTGTGTGTGTGTGCGCGCGCGCGCGCGCTCAGAACCAAACGTGGATCCACTGCAAGAGTAGCAAGTGCTCTTGGGCGTTAGAGACAGCTGAGTAGTTAAGAGCATACACTGCTCTTCCAGGTACCCCAAGTCTAGTTCTTAGCACCTGTATCAGGTGCTCCAGCTCCAGAGGCCTCTGACCTCTGGCATCCATGTACACATGCACACACACACATAATTTTAAAATGAAAAACAAAAACCAAGTTAAGAGTAGTAGCTCATGGGGCTGGAGAGATGACTCAGAGGTTAAGAGCACTGGCTGCTCTTCCAGAGGTTCTGAATTCAATTCCCAGCACCCACATGGTGGCTCACAACCATCTATAATGAGATCTGGTGCCTTCTTCTGGTGTACAAGCATACATGCAGGCAAAACACTTAAAAAAAGAAAAAAGTAGTAGCTCACACCTTTAATCTCAGCACTCAGGAGGCAGGGGCAGGGGGATCTCTGTGAGTTTCAGGCCAGCCTGGGCTACAGAGCGAGACCCTGTCTCTAAAGCAAAAGAAAAAAAATTGCTTCTAACCACTGAGGCATTTCTCCTGCCCCAAGATTTATTTTTATGTGTGTGTGTGTGTGTGTGTGTGTGTGTGTGTGTGTGTGTGTGTTGATCTACTCCCCACATGTGTGAAGATGCCTGCAGAAGCCAGAAGGGGGAGTTAGATACCCTGGAGCTGGAGTTAGGAGTAGCTATGAGTCATCCTCTATGGGAGCAGAGAATTGAACAGAAGAGCATCGAGTCCTCTTAACCACTGAGCCACCCTGTCTCAGAATTTCCAGTGTGTTTTATGTGCCAGGGAAGGTTTCAGAAGCTTGAGATACTTGATGAGCAAGTAGTCTTGTTTGAGATTTTTAAACAGGCTGGCAGGCAGACCTCTGTGAGTTCAAGGCCAGCTTGTGTTGTTTTTTTGGTTTTTTTTTTTTTTGAGACAGGGTTTCTCTGTGTAGCTTTGGAGCCTATCCTGGCACTCGGTCTGGAGACCAGGCTGGCCTCGAACTCACAGAGATCCGCCTGCCTCTGCCTCCCGAGTGCTGGGATTAAAGGCGTGCGCCACCACCGCCCGGCAAGGCCAAACAGTTCCAGGACTACATACTGATCCTGCCTCAAAACCCACCAAACCAAACACACAGAAAAGTCTTCTAACAAAACAAACTCAGCGTACTCAGATTGCCATTCTATTGTTAGGGAGATGGATGGTGGGACAGGACAGCGAACAGGCCCCTTGGGAAGTCCCTTCTGTAGAGACGGCATCTGGCCGGCTCTAAGAGATAAGGGTTGTCTTAGTTAGGGTTACTATTGCTTTGGTGACACACCGTCATGAAAAGTAACTTGGGGAGGAAAGGGTTTATTTCCCTCACGGTTTCATCAGGAGCAGGGAGGCAGGAACTTGGAGGCAGAGCTATGGAGGATGCTGCCTGCTGCTTGCTCAGCAGTTTTCTTACAGAACCCAGGACCACCAGCCCAGGAATGGCCGCATCCACATGGGTTATGCCCTTCCCCATCGGTCACTGACTAAGAAAATGCCCTAAACTGGGTGGCAGTGGCAACTGCCTTTAATCCCACTCAGGAGGCAGAGGCAGACAAATCTCTGAGTTCGAGGTCAGCCTGGTCTACATAATAAGTTTGAGGACAGCCAGGGCTACACAGAGAAACCATGTCTAAAAAGTCCTTAAGGATTGCCTACAGCCTGGACTTACAGAGGCATTTTCTCTCTCTCTCTCTCTCTCTCTCTCTCTCTCTCTCTCTCTGCTTTTGTTTTTCGAGACAGGGTTTCCCTGTGTAGCTCTGGCTGTCCTGGCACTCACTCTGTAGACCAGGCTGGCCTTGAACTAGGAGATCCACCTGCCTCTGTCTCCTGAGTGTGGGGATTAAAGGCGTGCGCTGGCACTGCCTGGCTGGAGGCATTTTCTGAGTTGAGATTCCCTTCTCTCAGATAACTTTAGCTTATGTTAAGGTGACAGAAAACTAGCCAGCATAAGGATCCCGGCATGTAGAAGCCAAGAAGTGTTCTATAGACAGAGAGCAGCAGTGTGCATTGGTTCTGAGGCAGGAAGAACGAGATATGTGTAAGGTCCTGAAAGAGGACCAAGGGTGCCAGGCATTGAGTGATGGAAACAGGGAATCCAAGATGGTTCTAGAGACAAACCACAGGCCCTGAAACCCCATCCCTAGAGCTTCTCACAGAAGCCCCTGGCCTCGCTTCAGCCACTGTGGACACCAGTGCCAACATCTGTGACCTTTCTCTTCCACCAGGCAGATGGCCGTCTCCTACCTCACAGCTACTAGCACTGCGGTGGCCACGGCAGTGGGCATGAATATGTGGACAAAGGTATGCATGGCTGGGGCGGCTGTGGGCACAGCGGCCACCAGAGGGCAGCAACGCTCTAGAGAAGACGGCTCCCTTGGCTCAGCCCAGGAGTTTGAGGATCCCAGAGTGGACTTGTCATGTCGGTAGCAGCGTTTACTTGCTTCTTTTCCTGTGTAATCCGCAGCCTCTTTCACCCCACCTTAGCATGAGCTTCAATAACGTCCACTTCTCCCTGCCTCCAACAGAGAGCTCCGCCCTTGGTGGCCCGATGGGTGCCCTTTGCCGCCGTGGCTGCAGCTAACTGTGTCAATATCCCGATGATGCGACAGCAGTGAGTACAGGGAGCCAGGGTTAGCGGGAAGTGAAGGAGGCCGAGGCAGTGAGCCACTAGGCTCCTGGACTGAGGCAGGATGGAGAAGGCCAATGGGCCCAGCCTCCGGAAGGCCCTCAAGGGCTGCTGTTCCTGTGTAACGGCCCAAAGAATGGAGGATGATTTAAAAATAGCGTGTCTTGTGTTAAGTGAGGTGGATTGAGCGTGGACATATGGACCAGACTTTTTTTTATTGGGAGTGCTGGGGCTTGAACCCAATGCCTCATTCATGCTAGGCAAGTGCTCGATCCCCAAAGCTACATCCCTAGCTTAGATCCTGTCAGAGCTTTGAACTTCCCAAACTTAGATTGGCTTAATGGAAGAAAAATGACAGAACAGAGCATCTAATGCCAGAGCATCATCCGGGTGCTTAGAGAAACCAGGGAGGAGGCAGGCGTGCCCAGGAGCCCAGCTAAGCACTCCTCAAAAGGGAATGCAGAAACTGATTCTATTTTATGGTTTTATTCATTTTATTTTTTACAGATTTATTTATTATGTACACAGTGTTCTGCCTACGTGTATATCTGCAGGCCAGAAGAGGGCACCAGATCTCATTATAGATGGTTGTGAGCCACCATGTGGTTGCTGGGAGTTGAATTCAGGACCTGTGGAAGACCAGCTAGTGTTCTTAACCATCTCTCCAACCCTTGTTGGTCTTCTTTCAGAATTTCGTTTGTTTGTTTTTTAGAGAAGGACTCACTTTGTATCCTTGGCTGACTTGGGTGCTCACTATGTAAATCAAGGTGGCCTTGAATTTACAGTGATCCACCTACCTCTGCCTGGGATCAGAGGCATGCGCCACCACCTCCTGGCTAAAGATTTTTAATTATGTGTATGTGTGTGTGGGGGTGTGTGTGCATGTGAATGCAGGTGCCCATAGAGAGAGACTGGACTCAATGGATCAAACTCCCCTGGAGTTATAGGCAGTTGTGAGCTGCCTGATGTGGCTGTTGGGAACTGAACTTGACTCCTCTGTAAAAACAGTAAGTGCTCTTAACCTCTGGGCCATCTCTCCAGTGCTATTTTTGTTTTTTGATTCAGGATCTCACTATGTGGTTCAGGGTGGCCGGGAGCTCACTGTGTAGGCCAGGCTGCCGTTGAGCTTGCATTGATCTCCTGCCTCTGCCTCTCGAGTGCTGGGTTCCAATTGTGCACTACAGGGATAGCTACTTCTTCCTCTTCGCCTCCCTGGGTATTGAGCCCAGAGGCTTGCACATTAGTCAAGGGAGACTATGGAGCCGCCTCCCAGCCCAGTTTCTGTTTCTTTGTTTTTTTCTTTTTTTGTATTTTTCTGGAGTATATGTGACAAAAGGACTGGTTCTCTTAGACGCCATTGCCATCATGGTCTGTATCTCCAGCCACATTTTGTTGGCAAATGGAGGTTTACCACAGCAGCCCCTGGAGAAAGAGCTTGCAGAATTACGCACGCACATCCTTCGTCTCTGCTTTCCTTTCTCCACCTAGCTCTCCCAGCAGATGAGTGACTGTGGGTGCCCAGCTGCTCTCCAACCGGGGTGTCAAGAGTTTGTCTGAGCACAGAACAGCGACTGTTTGGGCAGTGGATACTAAGTCAGGCGCCCGACTCAGAACTTGGCCAGTAGCTCATTCAGTTTTCATTAGGTTCCATGAAGTAGGTGCCAGGATTATCCCCATTCTCCACATGAGGAAAACTGAAGCTCTGGAAGGGGAAAAGACCATCCTCAAGGTCACAATATGACCTGCAGCTTCAGGAGTCCACCAAGGCAGTGTGGACCTGGGGTTGGCTTTCTTGGCTGCTGCTAGGGTCACTTCTGAGGTACCATTCATTGGAGTGAAGAAGGGAGGCCTGAGGGCCAGGCTGTAGGAGACGCTTCCTAGAGCATCCATCGGTCGCTTGGCACTGGTGACCTGATATGTCACATGCTGGGCAGAGTCCCAGCACCCACTTCCTAAAGTCCAGAAACTTCTCTTTGTCCAGGGAACTCATCCAGGGCATCTGTGTGAAGGACAAGGACCAAAATGATCTTGGCTGTTCTCAGGTAAGCGGAGGAAAGACCCCCTTCAGACCCTGTCCCCTCTAGGTGGTGTTACATGTGACCTGGGTGCCATTATGGGTTTTCCTGGGCCCACCCTTGTTTTCTCTTAAATCCCCCCACCTGTCTTTGTTCACAACGGGCTTTCTGTATCATTTCAGATGGGAGGGTTGGGTAAGGACACACCTCCCTTTCCCTGCCTGGACTTGGCCATGAACCCTGACTGACTTCTTTAGTGTAGACGGTCTCACCCCATAAGTGTTTCCTGACACCTCTTCTCTGTCCTCAGAGAGCTGCAGCTGTGGGCATCACCCAAGTGGTTATTTCTCGGATCACTATGGCAGCCCCTGGCATGAGTAAGATGGGAAACACCTCCTATCATGGGGGAACCTTGAATGCCCGGTAGAGGCCTCAGTTACTTCAGCTTTCAAGTGGGAGGTGAACACCTTCTCAAGCTGTTTCCCCTGACAGCTGAAAGCTTAGGGAGGCACACACAGGTGTTCTTAGAATATCAGTTTCCTGGGCCGTGAGGCAGGATAGGTTCCAAAGCTACAGAGAAACCCTCTCTCGAAACACACACACACACACACACACACACACACACACACACACACACACCCCAGTCCATCATTTAGCTGATATTCACAAAGGAACAGTGGGGTGTCCCTGAGAGACAGTGGGGTGTCCCTGAGAGACAGTGGGGTGTTCTGAGAGACAGTGGCAGAAGCAGTTCCCCTGATCCCTGGTTTCCAGCAGGGGCCTTTTGCAGAGTAGGATTCACAATTTGTTTGCACAGGCCTGCAAACCAGTTTTCATTTTGCAAAGAAGGATGCTTTGGGTGTAGGGCCGTGTATGTCCGCCTTCTGTGGCTGGTGAACACATTTTCAGGAAGCATGCTTTCTCTGAGACTTGGGGGAGTCTGGGTAGCAGTGCCTATGCAGGCTCTGTTCCCCGCTCCCCCTGCCTGGGGAGCTGAGGTCTGTGATGTGACCACAGAGGGGGGTTGGGGGGAGAGTCTGCCATTCCTCCTCTCAGCTGCTCTGTCTCTTCCAGTCATATTACCAGTCATCATGGAGCAGCTGGAGAGACTGCGTCTGATGAAGGTAGGAGGATTCTCTCTGCCTACAGCCCCAGAAACTGTCTCTCCCTTCCTTCCCAACAGCCACCACCCCGGGTCTTACTCAAGTAGAACCAGTACCAGTCTCTACCAGCCCCTGTTTCAGATATGAGAACAGCTTCCTGACCTTCCTGCAGAGCCAGGAGAATCCCTTCTCCGTCAGGGCAGCAGATCCCAGCCTTTGCCTGTGGCTGATGGGGTAGGCACAGGGTCTGCAGGTGGCGTCCGAGTCCTGTGGGTACATTTCTCTTTTTTTCTTGTTTTGTGCAGAAAGTCAGAGTGCTGCATGCCCCTCTGCAGGTCCTTCTGTGTGGCTGCTTGTGAGTATGTTGTTCTGGTGGTTTGGGGTCTGCTGGCTGGAGCACCCAGGACTTGTCTTCAGAAATGGCCAGGCTGAGCACAGTGGCTCATGTCATAGCCTAGCACCCAGATGGCTGAACTGGAGTTCTTCCCAGGGTCCCCTCTCCCTCAGGTCTAGAGCAGTTTTAGAGAAGAAATAAGAATGAGGAGCCAGAGGTTGGTTGGGGCTGTTTAACATCCCAGCCTCGCATACAGGAAAAATGGCACATCATGCCCGTGTTCTTAGGGACGTGGCCATTGACTGATGTACCATTAATTGTGTCCTCCTGCTGATAGTCTCTTTCCCTGTGTGGCATAGGTGGCTGTGACTTGGAGTCTGCAGTTTACCATTCTTAGTTGCATCATTATTTTCTTCCCATGTTGTAATATAGGTGTGAAGTAAAGGGGAGGGACACTGACCTTTATCACCAAGTCAAGATGAGTTATCTGGGGGCTGGAGAGATGGCTCAGAGGTTAAGAGCACTGGCTGCTCTTCCTGAGGTCCTGAGTTCAATTCCCAGCAACCACATGGTGGCTTACATCATCTGTAATAAGGTCGGGTGTCTTCTTCTGGCGTGCAGGCATACATGCAGGTAGAACACTGTATACATAATAAATAAACAAATCTTTAAAAAAAAAAGATGATTTTTCTGGTAGAGTGCTTGCCTAGTATGTATGAGACCCTGAATTCAATTCCCAACCAGGAGTGGCACACAGAGGTCAGAGCAGGAGGATCAGTGTTCAAGATCAGCCTCAGCCTGCCCCAGGGCCATATGACCCCATCTTAAAACAGGGCATAGAGAAGGGCTGGAGGGAAGGCGGGCTCAGGGACAGGGAGTGGCCAGGCTTGGGGACATGTCCCTGATACTCTTCTTCTTCCTTTCAGCCTCCTCTTCATGGTGCCAGTGGCATGTGGGCTCTTCCCTCAGGAATGGTATCAGCCATTTGTTGCCTGCTTTGTTGTATCAAACTCTCTGCTACTGCTCCCAAACTGACCTGCCGAGAGAAGGATGCACAGGAAAGTAGATGTTTCTAAGGCAGGTGCCTAGCCGCCTAATGCTGGGTGAACGGGACCCCAGCCAGGACCCTGGGGGACGGGTGAGAAGCCAGGAGTAAGAGTTGCTTTCACCCATTGCCCAGAGATTGGCCGGGGTTGGGACAACAGGAGGTTTCTTGATTCACTGGGTGAGTGTTAGGAAGGTCACTGCTGGCTGGATCTGGTCTTTAAGGTTGAAGGTGCTTCCTCTGCTTCTTCTGGCTCATGTTCAGGTCTGTGCACAGACGTGTGTGTCGTAGCTCCCTCCGTGTTTCCTGGAAGGGAGGAGAGACGGAGGGAAAGAGATGGCCTGGGGTCAGCTGGTTCCAGGAGACAGGTGTGGCTGGTGTATGACCTGAGACAGTAACAGTTCCACCATCTGTATGGGTTCATTGGCCTCCTGCCAGTCACCTCCTGTGTCCCGAGCACTGTGCTGTCAAACTTGTGGGAAAGACAGATGTTTAAGCTAAGAACTTTAGTCTGGATAGAATGATGTACAAGGTGAAATGGAGCTTTTATTCTGACACACAGGCCAATAATAATTTTGGCTGGAAAAATCAGGAATTAGGTGAGTGTGTAGTTTGAACTTGCAACCCCACACTGGGGGTAGGGCATGGGGCTAAAGCAGGAGGATCAAGAGTTCAAGGCTAGCCTGGGACATATAGACCATAGCAAACGAATCAATTAAAATTCTTTTTCCTAACAACCCCTGCCTCAAAAAACGTAAGAAAAGGTCTGGGGAGATGACTTACTTGTAAAATGTTTACCACACAAGCCAAGCCCTCCGATCTGAGTTAGAGCCCCCAGAACCCACATAAAAAAGCTGGGTGTAGTGGTATGTGCTTGTAACCCTGGTGTTAGGGAGGCATAGAGAGTGGATCCCTGAAGCTCATCGGCCAGCAGCCTAGCTGAATTGGTGAGTTCCAGGTTCAGTAAAAGATCTGTCTCCAAAAAGAGAAAACTGAGGACGATTGAGAAAGACATGGGATGGTGACCCCTGGCCTCTGTACACACACACACACACACACACACACACACACACACAC